ATATCATTGATTTTTGGGAATTTTAGATGAATTTTGATAATGAATAGCAATCTCTATAAGGTAACAAGGTCTTAACTTCCCAATTTGAAATGTGTAGATGAGAAAGAAGACAAAGAAAAAATTCTGCTTGTATTTGATGGATTTCTGGCATTAAAGTTATTATTATGTCAGTTCATTTTTTTTGTCATCTTATTTCATTTGCATTTTATCGTATTATTTATTTATTTTTTAAGTGAAAAGTAGGACTCCAAAATAAAGAATAACCCTCCAGATGGGTGCTGGCCTTTCTCATGACACCACCTTACTGTTTACAATATAAACATTAACCAGTAGAAGTCAACCAAGTTTAACCATAAAGTTCTATTCTATATCACTTTGAACATCGTATTCTGCTATCTGTAATTTATAAGATCTTATTTAAGAACTGAACACTATCACATTTCAATAACCAATATTTTTTTTTTTTAAAAAAGGAAAAAAAAGAAAAAAAAGAGTTTGATTTCTTCAATATCAAATAAGAAATGACGCATATCTTAATTGGCTGAAGCATCAATTCTATAACCATGTTTTACGTACCTTAAGTTTCTTTAAGAAAAAAGAAAAAAAAGTAGCAATTTATTAGAAAATAAATTAAAAAAAAAAAAAACAAACAAAAATATTTGAAATATTTTGTTCAACACTTAAAGATGAAAGTAAATAGCAATAAATAAATTAGTGGGTAGTTGAAAGTGAAAAGATGCTGTTTGACATGTGATTTAGGTAATTTGTTAACAATATAAATTTTCATATATGATTTAATATGATATTTTACATATGATTTAGTAATTAACAACAGTCAAAATAATATACAATTTTTTAAAAATTTTAAGACCAAAACAACATCCACCTCTTAAGCTAGAGCAAATGAAATTGCAGATAGTTTCATTCACATGGGTAGTGTTGTTTAAAAAAAAGAAAAAGCATTTGGTCGTCGTTTCTATCTGAGATGATGTTCAATCAGATTAACATTAAAAAACAAATCTTTTAAAGTTATCTTATACAGAAAGACTGTAATGTCAAATTGTTACCCTCTTCTTAATGACATATACTTGTAAAATCTGCACACAATAAGATTAACATTTAAAGAGAATAAAATGCACTCAGATATAATTTCACTGTTGTTGGTTTATTTATTAAATGGGTTAAAGAAAAAACAAAACAAAATACTAATCAAACTTATTAAATTTATAATTATCTTTAGTCACAACAGCTACTTTCTTAAAGAGATTTAAATTTTGCCAAACTAGCAAACATTGTTGTAAATTTATTCTTTGTAAACAATTGCATGGCTTATTATATAGAGAGGAAAAAGAAGGAAAAAAAAAAAATAGACCTACTTTTAGTCTGCTGAATATATGACAAAAATATAGTTTTAAGGTTTGCTATATTTATGTGTTAAAGCACTTCATACCAGGTATAGAGCGAATATAAATATAAAAGTAGACATTGAGGTCAACAACCAGCGGTGACTGTTTCATGCTTAAACAAAATCTTTGGCCATGTGTGTTGCATTTTGGTACAACTATTGATATATGCTGGTCAGTGGTGCATTGTGGGTAGAAGGTCTATTGTATTATCTTAATGCTTATTGGGTGGGCGTTAATGGCTATGTTTCAAATTATTCAGAAGCTATTGAGTAGAAATAATTGCAGATACAAATTTTGAAAAAAAATTTTGCGAATTGATACAAACCACCTAACAATACCGAAATAGTGAAACCAACGTAGTGGAATTGACTGATCTTTATATATATTGTGGATGACAATATATATGCTCCTGAAAAATTAATTATCGGTTGAGCTCTCTGGGGAAGAAGTGTGGGGTTTTAAACAGTGACTATTATGGCTAATAATGCAAGACTCTTTGGTAAATCGAATAGAGTTCTCTCAGTCACTGTGTGGTTATCTAAAAATAAATACGCTTAAATTCACCTTCATCCCTGCTGTGCAGCAATGGCTTAGTGGTAGAATCCCCGACTGATGCCAATTCAATTGGGTTTTGATCCTAGCTAGAGGCAACCGGACGTCTAGCCACACTGATGAGCTGTGATACAGCGAAACAGTCTGTCTGTGGATGACTATATATATATATATATATATATATATATATATATATATATATATATATATGGAGAGGGAGGGTGCGATGGATAAATTGTCGTCTAAATTACGCAAAAATGAAAATAAAACTGGCATCTCATTTTAACAGACATATTTACCAAAATTACGCAAAAATATCTTGAAATAAAAAAATAAAAAAAATGCCTTTGGCTTTAAGCAGTCCTCTAAATAACTTCAGAATCTTCTGCAACTCTTCTGGACAGTCTCCTTGTTTAAGTAGATGAATGCTGCCATAATCCTTGTCTTCAGTTCATCTTTGGTGTTACAAGGAGTTTTTGAGACTCTCTCACTCAACTGTGCCCTACACATAATAATCAAGGGGGTTACAATCTGGAGAATTGTGGTCACATAAATTGCCTGACAGGCATGACTGGGTTCTCCTGCTTGTGTGGTATGGTGCAGAGTCCTATTGCCAGACATAGGGTCTTCCAGCAGCCATCCTCTTGGCGCAGGGCAGCACTATCTTAAGGCACTTGATTTAGGATTTTGTGTTGAGTCCCTGTGGGAAGATGAATGGAGGCACAACATTGCCATCACTAGTGATCATTCGAAACACCTTCATAATCACCATTAGACTCATCAAACTCTTTCTGAATCCTCTGCATTGCCCTCAGATTGACATTCAAACATACTGAAATCTTTGTATTGGAGTTTCTGGTGCAAATGCCAAGCATTACAGCTTGCCAATCTAAAATTCCTGGTAGAGTAAATTGTGTCATGGTGATCTTTTTCTCACGGGTGGTGTCCCAACTGAGCCTACTATACTGTGTAGTCATATAAAAGGGCGACAATTTACCTATCGCACTTTGTATGTATATAACAGGCATCCTCTGATGTCTGGTCATTGGATGTGATAAGGTAATTTGATTTACAGTCTCCATTTATCCACAGAGATACCAAAGCATATTTGCTTTCATACTCTCTTGCCTTTCATTCAAACTTGAAGAAGCAGATGCTCTTGGCAAAATGTGTCATTCATAGCTTTTCCACATTGTCATTTTCACTTTTTATATATATATATATATATATATATGTGTGTGTGTGTGTGAGAGAACGAATGAATGTTGGAATCAACACTGCATAATGACTATCAGCACAGGGTTTGAATATTGCTTTGAGGTAGGAAACTAACAGTAACCTTTTGATGTTTATTCCAGTGCTGACATTGTTTATATCCACAAGCACCATCTCTAATGCTGAGCACTCTTTCCCCTAACTTTATAAAATTTTAAAGTGTGTATGTGTGCACATGCACACACACAGGTCCAAAATTGTGCAAAAAAAAAAAAAAAAAAAAAAGAACCTACATGATGAAAAAAAATGCTTCAAACTTAATAAAAACAAAGTTTTATAATTAAAATCTTTGTTATTATTAGGAGGAAAGACCAAAGGATTTTTTGATTAATCAAATTATCAGATTTTAATAAAACTTTCAGGACATATTTACAAATGAATGAAATCATTTTAGAATTTTTTCTTCTTTTTTGTTTGTTAAACAGGATCCTCAGTTATAGTAAATCTGCTCTGAATTGTAAAATAAAAATAAAGCTAAAACATTATTTAATTGGAAAAGCTTTTAATTTTTTTTTATGAATAAGATATATTATGGAGACTATAATCTTAAGAAAAATAATTTTTTCAATAAATAATGAATTTTTACAAGAATTGTTTCCATTTTTAAAAAATTTTAATTAGAATAATTTATGTTTTAAATCTTAAAATTCTGTATTAATTTGTATGGGTTAAGTGATATTGTTATTAAATAAAAAGCATATTTACTAATCATAGGTTGGAAAAGCTTACTACAATTCAGTGACCTCCAGTATTTTAAAAAAGATTTTGAAATGTTTTTTATGTGTCTGTATAAACGTAACGATTTTTACAGATATGCACCCACCACCTGTGAAAAAAAATTAGTTAAATTTCCAAAGCTGTCAACACCTTAAGTAAACGCATACCTCCATGTTTAAAAATGCATTTCTGGAATATTTTAAACTACAAGTAAATAATATTTGTTTCAAATCAGATAAATTAAACGTTAAATCAGCAAATAAAGTTTCAAAAAACTATATTTTATTTTTGAAAGATTTTTTAATAAAGAGAATTACATTGTGCAGACTGGTGACTAAAATCAGTGATTTTTAGCAAATTAGAAAAAGAAAAAATACACTCTAGTTCTGAAATGCAGCAAAGTATTTTGCTAATTAGTAAATATTAAATTTAAATTAAAACTAAAATAAAAGTTTCAAGATCTTTCATTTTTAAAGATTCATTTTAAACCTTAGGTATTGGCTTGGGATATATATATATATATATATATGTGTGCTGCAATTTCTCATCAACATTTATAAAGGAAAGTACAAAAGAAGTGTGAAAATTGTTTGCTTTTGAAATAGAAAGAAATTTTTTATTCATTATATTTTTTAAATGACTATCTCTTTAAAAATAAAGCAAAAGTATGCAATTTGATAAGCAAGGCACAACATTCTACTGTTGTTGCTTTCTACAGGCATAAGAAATAAACATGACATTTATATTTGTCTACTCCCAACCACTAAAAAAAGATGGGAGGGGTGAAAAAAAAAAAAAAAAAAAAAAAAAAAGAGGAAAAGGTTAAGAGAAAAAGTCTTATAAAAGTTAGAAATTGGACAATCAAGTAAAAATCAAAGAGAAATTAGGAATTTTATAAATACACAAACATATTTACAAACATCATGCAAGGAAATGTGAAAGAGAAAAGTTTTTGAGATTATCTTAATGACAAAATTAAAGTGTGAATGTAAGCAAGATGCTGTTTATCCCTTTCTTCCATCAATACGCTAGTTTTTTTTAAAAAGAAAGTCATACTACATGCCGAAGGGGGGGGAGAAAAAAAAAAAGAAAAAAAAAAGAAAAAAAAGAAGAAAAAAAAAAGAAAGAAAAAAAAAAGAAAGAAAAAATACCCCACCCGATTGGCTGAATAATAATGCAGAAAAATCGCAAGGTAGCAAGTTTTAAATGTGAGAAAAGATTAAAAATAAATAAGTAGATAAATAAGTTATCTCACCCACGAGAGAGAGAGAGAGAGAGAGAGAGAGAGAGAGAGAGAGAGAGAGGCAACTTTTTGTGACCTAAAAATGGAGGGGAGAGAGAGAGAGTTTAAAACAAGTTAATAAGTCTCACTCTTATTACCTGGATGTTGAAACAAAAACATCATGGTGAGAAAGAGTGATGACAGGTAATGATGTTTTCAAGGTTGACATGTCCAAGGCAAAATGAAGTCTATAACGAGTAGTCATAGTAGTGGTGGTGTTGGTCACAGTAATAATTGTGATAATGGCTGAATAAACTGGTGCTGAGTAGTTTCCTTGCTGCTACTGCAGTGTTGGCTCTCAGACATGGATTGAGCAAAAAAACTGGCTACACACATGGAGAACGACTAATTGTCAACATCTAAGTCATATACAAAACTGTGTGACAATCCTATTGCAACACACACAGACACACGTGTGCACGTGCATGAACAGAAGCAAAGGGGTTTGTGCCTTGGTTCTGCACTGAGGAAACACATGTGCTTGTGAGACAATTTCCAAAGAGAAAAATCACACCGAGACTGCAAGAAAAATGGGCTACAAGTCAAATCTTTTGCAGCTGAGGGGAAAGAGTGTGACAGAGAGATAGAGAAAAAAAAAAAAAAATTTAGTAAGCTTCGATGATTAAGATGACACTGGACTACGCATTTATTTGGTGAGACTTGAATTGGCTTAAGAGACTAACCCATGACCTCTGCACTCTGAATAAACAGTGAATAGAGGAAAGGGAAAAGAAAATGAAAAACTATGGAGAAGAAAGTTGAAAATAAGCAAAAGGATTATCAGGGAAGAAAGAAAATCAAGCATAGATTTAGTGATGAGCAGCAGCAGCAGCAGCAGATTGTAGTGCATGTAGTAATAAAAGCACAGGAGGGGGAGAAACCAGACAGAAAAAGAAGGAAAAAAAAAGAAAGAAAAAAAAAAAAGCAGCAATAATAATAATAATGTCACAAGCACAACATCACCAATTGCAATGTCCATTGCTATAGCAGTAGCAGCAGATGTACAAATTGAGTCATTAGCCTGATTTGTTCATGTCTACTTACCTATAGGAGGACTGGGAGATAAATCAACGCCATCTATCAAAGACAGAGAGGAAAAAAAAAAAAAAAAGAAAAAAAAAAGATAAAAAAAAAAAAAAAAAGCACATTTTATTTCAGATTCAGTGTTTGCCAAAATTAGAAATAATTGAAAACAAAGATACTTTAATTCTATGCAGAGAAAAAGTTTTGCAAAGTCTTATTTTGTAATATCACTCAGAAGACATTCAAATGAAAGGAAATCTTATCCAACTTCCGGGGGGGGGGATGTGAAGAAGAAAAATAGTTTTCAATTCAATCTTCAATCACTTGACAACTTATATCATTATCTACAGACACACAACTGAAAAGAACAGATGAAGTCGTTCTATTCTACATATAACTCTCTCTCTCACATATATATATATATATATATATTTTTTTTTTTCGAGTGTTCAGATCTAATTATTAGGTAGATATATTTTGGTGGGATGTTTTTGCTAATTCAGAAGGCAACATTCTTTGTGTACGACATTAACAGGAAAAAAAAGATTACAAATATTTTTTAAAGCAATGGGCTGAACCCCAAATATTTTCTTTCTAATAAGAGCATGGCGATATTACTGTTTTTATTTCTTCTGAAGGAGGATATATATTTCTCCCACCTAAAATTAATGGCTGAACAAGACGTTCCTCATTGATGGGTTTCAAAAATGAAACTCATGGTTTGGTGAATATTTATAAATCAAATTTTATAAGCACGACAATTTTGTCGATTCACCTTTTATGTAATACAAAAAATAAAGAATGCAACCTCTGATGTATCTTGTGATAGAATTCACTTCCAATTTTGATCAAGGGAGACATTCAATTGCAATTAGGCAAAATCCAACAAAATGAATGGATGTCATCATCAGGATTTACAACTTAGAAATGATTTTGAACAATAAGACTATTTAATTCTTTGATACTGGAATAATGAGAAGCCAATTATGTTAATCAATTGAGTCAAAGCGTAATCAAATATCTGACATAAGGAGAACAACTCTTCCTCTGCAGAGTTTTACCTTCACAATGGCTTACCTTGGCTTTGTTCAGTTGCTAAGAATCAACAAGTCACCAGCTTTAGGAAAACAGGAAGCAATTTTAATTTTGTCATTGACAATTATTAATCATTTTAGCTTGAATTTACAGATAATGATTTGCTTATGAAGAAGGCAATTTCAACAAACATTTTGTGGAAATAAGCCAGAGGCATTTTGCTTATGGTTAAATTTTGGGTCATTGACTTTTTGTTTTCTTGTTTTGAGCAAATCAATTAAAATACAGCAAAGAGAAATGAATCATAAAAGTTCATTTTTAATCAACCAGAATAAGTTTTGATAAGTTTTTGGACAAATAAGCAAAAAGAACATTTCACTCTAAATCCAAATTAGAACTACTGTGTGCGTATGTAGCAAAAATATAGAGAGAAATTTCAACAGGTTTGCTTAATAAGTATGGAACAAAAAAAAAAAAAAAAAAAAAAAAATCAGTCACTGCAAATGACCATAAGAGAAATAGGTTTTAACAAATAATCAATGAATGTATTTAAAATGAAAAACAATCCCAAAATGCAGTTAACTGTCTGTTGGCCAAAAGTAGCAGCAGAGAACTGAGTAGTTTATATATTGAAAGCAAATTTACAAAATCCAACTGACAATGCAATGCCAAACTTACACCAGTAAAAGGAAATAATCTGAGCAGACAGATATTTTAATAATGGTTTTTATTAATTTGATAAAAGTAAACATCAGTTCAAAATGGAAAATCTTTCAGACTTTAGTCATTCATTAATGATTTTAATTGATAAGACAGATATTAAATACGGAGAGAGAGAAAGAAATCAACTGCCCAATACTTCAGATTCATTCTATTATTAAAATCTGGGATGTTTTGATATAGAAATAAAATAACAAATTCCTATGACATCAACATGACACTTCATTGGTTTGAAAGGGTTTTATCAGTAAAAGGCATGTTTAGTACGATAAAACAATATTACTATATCAGGTTAAGTTTACAAAGAAAATCGAGTTGGAAATTTTTTTCAATCATTTTTTCCTAATGACAAAAAAAGAAAAAAAGAAAAAGAAAAAGAATTCCAAAATGGATGATAAAGTAAAAAAAATTGAAGATATGGAAAAAAATGTAAACATTGACCTTTTATTTTCAAATTCTTTTTGATGCTTTGGATGGGTTAACAATTAATTTTTTTTCTTTTTACACTTGTTTAAAAAAAAAAAAAAAAAAAAAATTGCCAATGATTTCTTTATTATCAAAGTAAATGGCTTCAAAAGAGGGTAACATACAGAGCTGATATTTGGTCAAAGTGATTTTTAAAAAATATTTAGAATGAAAAAAATAAATGACCTAAAAAGAAACTCGAGTCAACAAATGCTCAATAAGTTAAGCGTATCAATCATGAAAATGGTTAATTATGTCAGTATTTATTTTTTTCAAGTTGATATTCAATTCTAAGGCATTTGCATTAAAATAAGGACACAGGTTGAATCCAATGATGAATAACAAAAAACCAACACCGTTTCTTTTCCTTATTACTTGGAAATAGTATTGAGGATGTAAAATATAAAAAGTGTAAAGGATTCAATAATTGAATTCCAATCAAACATTTCTGTTGACTAAAAAGACATACTTTTAAAATTTTGCTTTTATTAGTGTGGTGACCATTTTCAGTTCAATCATTTGTTTTAAAGAGATTTGTTAACTGAATTTTAGAAAGGAAAAGATTCCATTTGATGAAATTAATTTAAATCTTGTGAAGTGAAAACACTTGGTAAACAGCATAAAGATCATCACCAAAAACTTTAGGTAAGATAAGCACAGCTGCTAATAGAAGAGTCCTGAATGTTTATTGATATGCAACTTACATTTAGAAATTAACATTTTAATAAGTGTAACATATTCTTCACTCTAAACTGTTTGGACAGCTGAATTTCTTTGTGCTGATGTTGGCACAATGTTTCTTTCATATTATCAGCCTTCTTCAGAGGAAGACATCAAGAAAGGGATTTTTTAAATTTTTTTTAATGCTAATGACATTTTTTATAGTTCCAGATGAGCTGAAGACATTCTGACAAGTCCAATCAGTTTGTGCAGAAACAAAATCAAAACCTTTTTCATTCTCATTTCATTATGAATAATTGTATATTTAATCAAAGAAACTTAAGCAGAATAAGTTAGTCAATTGCCTGCCATTGCCCATCATTTACAAAGAAAAAAGACAATTTTGCATCTGTAAAATTATGACAAGTCTTTCCCAATTCTACATAATTCTACTCATCAGAATGTAAAAAGCTTTTTTTTGCATAAACTGAAAATCATAATTAAGTTCAAGTGTTCTTTGCAAATTGATAAGGAATTACAATTTCTAATACTTTCAACAAAGGGTTGAAAAAATGTTAAGATTTTTGAAATTTGAACTAATGAGAGGTTTTTTTTATTAAGTTGTTCAAAGAAATGATAAATCATTTGCTGCCAACTTATTTCAACAACTCTCTGCTATATTATTAAAACTTGCCTTGATAGAACAAATTCTAATATTTTAATAAAGTGATATTGTGCTTCCCATATTTTATTGCCTTCAAATAACTTTTTTGTTCTTGGTCTTTGTAATTAAATTTTTTACTGAGTTGGGAAAAGATTTTGAAGACTATATACTGTTTAAAACTTAGAAAGATTGAAATTATTTAAACACACAGGTTTAACCCGTTGAACCACGACCACCTGATGATTACGGATCTCCCACCCTGGTCCCTGGCTGCCCATGACTCTGGACAGTGTACCAGCCACAGGAACTTTCACACAGCAGCAAGTATACAGTCCACTCAGTTTCAAAAGGTCAACGTCCAACAACAAATATGACGTATTTGGATGTGAGAAGAAGTGACAGACAAAAATCTTTAACAGCATTCATAAAATCTGCAGCTGAATTCAAAATATGACAAATATGGTAATGTAATGTTTTGCTTTTTTGTTTAAAGAAATATTCGTGAATATATCAGATAAATCAATTGATATTAAAAATAATCAAACCTTATTGTTTCTTATTGAAAAGAATTTGTCAAAGTGTGAAAATAATTTCTGTCAAAGTGTGAATAGAATCAGAATTTAAAAAAATTCTTTTGCTTTTAAGATTATTTCATCCCAAAGGGAAGATGATAAGGCCACTAAAGTGCAAGAGATTACCAAGAGTGAAGGAACCTAAGAAAAAAAAAATGTTATGAAGAAAGGACAATAAAATTTAAAGTTTAGATAATCTTTGTGTATGTAAAGATTGTAATTGCTTGATAGAAAGAAGGCAAGGGCGAGATATTTCTGTCTTCTATATGACACCTGATCATTTCACTAAATCCAGGAAAATATATTTTTTTTAAAGACTATTCATCAAATGATGAAAGGTAAATATTTGCCAACAGTGTGCGTGCATGTGCGTATGTGTGTGTAGGGGGGGGGTGCTGGAGTGATCATTAAAAGCAGCAGAAAAGAACAGTCAATGCAGAAACAAGCTGATCAAAATTGGCCAAGAGCCAAAGGGACAATGACACAATGGAATACATTTGACAACTAGCATAGTTATTAATATGAGGTTGGAACATGTGCACCCATAAAGACATTGCAAGTGAGGAAAGAACTTGGGGTGGGTAGGATGAATAAGGTGTTGCAAACAAATGAGAAACGATGGCCAAGTCATTTAAACTCTGTAAGAATCAATAGCCCAGAAATTTCATTTTTGCACACCACAAAAAATTCTCCAACACAATTTGATCTTAACATAAACAAACTAATGGACATTGGAAAAGAAATAAAAAAGAATCTATTTTATAATTACTTTGTGTAAATTTCAATTCCATTTTCTCTGCATCTGTTGTCTTGCCAATCAGCTGGAAAGATGATTGGCAATAATTGTCAGCATTTCAAATTTATTCAAAACGCAAGAAAACCTTTCATTTCAACTAAAGACTAGAAAGAGTTATATAAATTTATTCAGGCCTTAATTT